TCAAAAAAAAAATGACATTTGGAGAACTTGAAATTCTTGACATTCTTTAAAAAAGAAAAAGACACTGGAGGTCCCCAAGGTTCTATCAAATTCTTTAAAAATATACATTCAAGGACGTGAGATTTTGACATTTAAAAAAAAAGACACAAGAGGATCCCGAAAAACTTTGTCATTCCTAAAAAAAGACAATCGGGGACCTTGAGATCCTTGACATTCTCTAAAAAAAAGGCACCAAAGGAACCAGAGATTTTTTCTTATGAAAAAGACATTACGAACTCCAGAGATTTTTGACACTCTTGGAAAAAAGACACTCGAGATCTTCGAAGTTCTTTCAAATTCTTAAAAAATGACATTCGAAGACCTTGTGATGCTTGACATTGTTTCTCATTCCTAAATTGGGGTAATCGAGGACCTGGAGCTTTTTGGCACTCTTTAAAAAAACCACTAGGATCTTGGTGATATTTGACGTTCTTTTTTTCTTTAAAGACACTAGGAACTCCTAAGGTTCTTGTTATTCTTAAAAAAAAGTCACTAGAGGTCCCCCAGTTACTTTCAAATTCTTAGAAAAATGACATTCGGGAACCTTGAAATTTTTAATATTCTCAAAAAAAAAAAACACACTGGGAACTAATGAGATTCTTGACATTCTTAAAAAAAAGACACTGGAAGTACCCAAGTCTCTTTCAAATTCGTAAAAAATAACATCGGTGACCTTGGGATTCTTGACATTCTCTAAAAAAGAAAAAGACACTGGAGGTCCCCAAGGTTCTTTCAAATTCTTTAAAAATATACATTCAGGGACGTGAGACTTTGACATTTAAAGAAAAAGACACTAAGAGGACCCAGAGAATCTTTCTCATTCCTAAAGAAAGACAATCTGGGACCTTGAGATTCTTGACATTCTCTAAAAAAAGACACTACGAACTCCCGAGATTTTTGACACTCTTGCAGAAAAGACACTCGAGATCTCCGAAGTTCTTTCAAATTCTTAAAAATGACATTCGAAGACCTTGTGATGCTTGACATTGTTTCTCATTCCTAAAACAGGGTAATCGAGGACCTGGAGCTTTTTGACACTCTTTAAAAAAAACACTAAGATCTTGGAGATATTTGACGTTTTTTGTTTCTTTAAAGACACTAGTAGGACCTCCTGAGATTCTTGTCATTGTTTAAAAAAGTCACTAGAGGTCCCCCAGGTACTTTCAAATTCTTAGAAAAATGACATTCGGGAACCTTGAGATTCTTAATATTCTCAAAAAAAAAAAAAACACTGGGAACTAATGAGATTCTTGACATTCTTAAAAAAAATACACTGGAAGTACCCAAGTTTCTTTCAAATTCTTAAAAAATGACATCGGTGACCTTGAGATTCTTGACATTCTTTAAAAAGGAGACGTGAGTCATTAGAACTCAACGAGGTTCTTTCAAATTCTTAAAAATAGACACTAGAAGATCCCGAACTCATTCTTGAATCGGGGACAAAGAGATTCTTGATATTCTTTAAAGAAAGACACAAGAGATACTAGAAGTTCTTTTATATTCTCTAAAAAAAATGACATTTGGGGAACTTGAGATTTTTGACACTCTTTAAAAAAAGACACTAGGGATCCTCGAAATATTTGACGGTCAAGGAAGTTGAGACTTTTGACATTTTTTAAAAAAGACACTAGGAGGACCTAGAGAATCTTCCTCATTCCTAAAAAAGACAATCGGGGACCCTGAGATTCTTGACATTCTTTAAAAAAAAGTTACTAAGAGGGCGGGAGATTCTTTCTTAAAAAGAGACACTACGAACTGCCAAGATTTTTGACACTCTTGGAAAAACAACACTAGATATTCCCGAAATTCTTAAAAAAAAAATTATTGGGAGAACTTAAGATTCTTGTATTATTTGAAAAAAAAACACTAGGGGAACCCCGAGAATCTTTCTCGTTCCTTAAAAAAAAAAATTTGGAGACATTGAGATAACAAAAAAAAGACACAAGGAACTCCAGAGATTTTTAACACGCTTGAAAAAAAGACATTCGAAATCTCCGAACTTTTTTCAGATTCTTGAAAAATGACATTAGGAGACCTTGAGATTCTTGAGATTCTTAAAAAAAATACGAGACACTTTCTCATTCCTAAAAAAGGACAATCGGGGACCTGGAGATTTCTGACACTCTTTAAAAAAGACACTAAGGATCCTCGAAATATTTGACGGTCTAGGAAGTTGAGATTTTTGACATTTCTTAATAGAGACATCAAGAGGACGCAGAAAATCTTTCTCATTCCAAAAAAAGACAACCTTGAGATTCTTGACATTCCTTTAAAAAAAAGACACCAAGGGAACCTGAGATTCTTTCTTAAAAAAAAGACACTACTAACTCCCGAGATTTTTGACACTCTTGCAAAAAAAACATTCGAGATCCCCGAAGTTCTTTCAAATTCTTAAAAAATGACATTCGAAGACCTTGAGATTCTTGACATTCTTTAAAAAGGAGACGAGAGTCACTAGAACTCCCCGAGATTCTTTCAAATTCTTAAAAATAGACACTAGAAGATCCCGAAAATCTTTCTCATTCCTTAATCGGGGACAAAGAGATTCTTGATATTCTTTAAAAAAAGACACTAGAGATCCCCGAAGTTCTTTCATACTCTCAAAAAAAAAAGACATTTGGAGAACTTGAGATTCTTGACATTTAAAAAAAAACACTAAGGGGGCGGAAGATTCTTTCTTAAAAAAAAGACACCACAAAATTTTTGACACTCTTGGAAAATAAACACTAGATATTTCCGAAATTCTCTAAAAAATTTTTATTTGGAGAACTTAAGATTCTTGTATTATTTGAAAAAAAACACTAGGGGAACCCCGAGAAACTTTCTCGTTCCTAAAAAAAGAAAAAACATTTGGAGACATTGAGATACTTAAAAAAGACACTATGAACTCCCGAGATTTTTAACACACTTGAAAAAAAGACACTAGAAATCCCCGAAATTCTTTCAAATTGTTAAAAAATAACATTCGAAGACCTTGAGGTTCTTGACATTCTTTAAAAAAAATACGAGAAACTTTCTCATTCCTAAACGAGGACAATCGGGGACCTGGAGATTTTTGACACTCTAGGAAGTTTAGATTTTTGACATTTTTAAAAAAGACATCAAGAGGACCCAGAGAATCTTTCTCATTCCTGAAAAAAGACAATCGTGGACCCTGAGATTATTAACATTCTTTAAAAAAAAGTCATCAAGGTGGCCTAAGATTCTTTCTTTAAAAAAAAGACACAAGGAACTCCCGAGATTTTTAACACACTTGAAAAAAAAGACACTAGAAATCCCAGAAGTTCTTTCAAATTCTTAAAAAATGACATTCAAAGACTTTGAGATTCTTGGCATTCTTTAAAAAAAATACGAGAAACTTTCTCATTCCTAAAAAAAGGACAATCGGAGACCTGGAGATTTTTGACACTCTTAAAAAAAAACACTATGATCTTAGAGATATTTAACGTTCTTTGTTTCTTTAAAGACACTAGGAACTCCTGAGACTCTTGTCATTTTAAAAAAAAAAGTCACTAGAGGTCCCTCAGGTACTTTCAAATTCTTAGAAAAATGACATTTGGGAACCTTGAGATTCTTAATATTCTCAATAAAAAAGGCAGGGAACTAATGAGATTCCTGACATTCTTAAAAAAAAAGACATTGGAAGTACCCAAGTTTCTTCCAAATTCTTAAAAAATGACATCGGTCACCTTGTGATTCTTGACATTTTTTAAAAGAAAAAAGACACTAGTTCCCGCCGAAATTTTTGACATTTAATAAAAAGACCCAGACCCCAGATTCTTGTTTATTGCATACGTACACAAACCAACAGATTAAACTAGAAATCGACATCATCGTGCTCTACAAGCTGCGAAAAAACCCAAAACTGGGCAGTGAATAATGAAACTGTTTCTGTTATGAATCACAAAATAATACTCCTATATATTTTTTTATTATTATGTTGGTATTGAATTTATCACTAAATACGTCAATTTGTCGGAGCTCGATTTTTAAATTCAAAGTTGAATTTAAGAAATGGAAATTTCTGCACGTATTCAAAAAATTGCAGACAAAGCAACCGCAAATTTGTTGCCTGCAAAATCCGCAGGTCGACATAAAGTGGAATACCAAAAATTTATCAAGTGGTGTGAAGAAAATGAAATTAGCGAATTTTCGGAGACGACGCTCTTGGCTTATTATTTCCAAAGTAAATCGGAAATGGTGAAAGCATTCGCTAACTGCCGCAATTTTACTATTAATTTTATTAATAACAGTAAAGTAAAGTGGTTTAGTTCTTACCTGTAAATGTTTAGTTTATATCTTGTTGTACAATTCAATAAGTACGTTTTTTCGCAATACATTGTCTTGTGGTTATTATGATTCTATGAGGTCGAGAACAGACTGAATAACATCACTAAATAAAGTTTAAACTGTTTTTTAATTAACTAGAACAACTAGAACAAACAAAATCACATAATTACTATCGCCAGTGTTAACTGTCAAATTGCTACCAATCCTAATTTTGATCAACAAATTCCCCTGTTTATACTTTTTTATATTTGAACCACATTTGTTATAATAACACTTGTAACAATCAATTTATTTTTTGTGTTCCAACTATGACAGCCCAAAAAATCTACATCACACTTGCAACATGATTGAAATTTCAATTTCTGCAGCTGGTTAAGAACAGGAGTGCAGAAGACGTAAAAATCATGACTGGTGTATCCTTTGACAGCGCCATCTACCGATATACTAGTAATAAAAAAACCTGTAATATCAAATTCTGTCACCTGTTCGACAACCTATGATCCTGTCCTGAGATTGAAGCCCCAAGCTCGTCAGCTGGCAATTCTGACTGGAAGTCGACGACCAGCTGGCAAACATGTTTTGAACTTTTTGCCTGATGATGAAATACAAAAAAAATGTAGACATTAAACTATGGATTTTTACAGTGTGATCATAAATAAATAAAAGCGACATACTTACAACAAATATATTTAGTGCAATACATTATACAAATAAATAAGTCGTTAACCAACATGGCCGAATTTAGAGAACACAAATGTACCATAGCACCTACAAAATACTGAATAACATTATTGTTCAACACCTTTTCATGATATGCATAATATAAAAATGTTTCTTGAAAAATGGTCACAAAAAGTTGTATGTATAGTACACAGCAGTACAAAAGCTAACGCGTTAAGTCATTATATACAGGGTGGTTGAAGCAAAAGTAAGTAGGAACGATATTCAAAACTCACTACAGAAAGAACGTCAGTAGCAAAGGCCGCGAACTTGGTGCTTATCCTGAGATACTTAATATGTACAAGAAAAAAAATCTGAAGTCCTAACCCTAAAATAAATGCTCATGAACTCCTTAACAGTACACTGGAAATGAAAAATAGTAACAGTTATCACAATATTAGTAGAATGTACACTTCTACTCAACCTAAAGTAGTACGAGTTTCTTTGGAATCGCAGTGAATACAATTTTGAGTGTCACTCCAAACAAACAGGAATGATCAAGTGTCAGTTCTCTACCAACGTCAAGAAAATAAAACTCGCGAAGCCACAAGAAAAAAAGTTACCAACTACCCTAACCTATTCATCTGAAGCATTAATACAGCAGGAAGTTCTATTTTCTGATTGCTTTTTCGTCAAATCTACCGTATCCGTGTAGAGACACTCGTTCTTGTCGGCCCGGTTTTCCAACCTCAGCCAGTGCTGCACCGCCGTGGCGAAGGCCTCTTGGACGTTACTGGCGTTCTTCGCCGAGGTTTCGATGCACGCGGAGATCGCGTTCTCGTTGCACCAGGTCTCCATCTCCACCTGGGACACTTCCCGCTCGTTGGCCTCCACGTCCGACTAAAACCAACCAATAAAATCGCGCCACAACCCCACAAAAATTACCTTATTCCCTATGACAATGAATGGAAACTGCACGTTTTCCTTCACGTCGGCGTAATACAGAAACTCGTTTTTCCACATCTGCAAATTCCGGAAGCTGTGTTTATCATCGATGGCGTACGTCAGCATGCAGATGTCGCTGCCTCGATAAAAGGGGGTCCTCAACGTCTTGAACCTCTCCTGCCCCGCGGTGTCCCAAATCTGCAACGTGTACGTCTCCCGGTCGATCTCGATGTCTTTGTTCAAGAACTCCACTCCGATGGTGTGGAACGAGTGTTCGTCGAACTGGTTGGACACGAACCTGTTCATGAGACAGCTCTTCCCTACGCCCCCGTCGCCCAGAATCACCACCTTCAGCAGCGTGTTCTTGCTCGTGGGTCTCATGTTGACTCTTGAACCCATCTCAAAGTTTATTATAACATCATCGCGTTTTATGGTGCGGGGACTTTCCTGGTAAATAAACACAGATATGAGGATTCCACCGTCGTGACTCACGCAATCGATTATATTCTTACCAATTTCTTCCCTGTTTGTTGGTGTTTTTTTCAGCGATATGACTAACCGCAAATGTCAACTTGACGTTTGTCATGTGTCGGGTAACCTTGACGGGTTGGTTGGATTAAAGTGGGTGTGGACGTCGCTGGGTCCGTACCAATTTAAATGGGTCATTATGCAATTTAATTGTTGGGTTTATGATGCGTAGGTAATGAGAGGAAGTTCCGTTGCCTCCATTTTTTAAAAGTGGCGCGTGAAGTGTGACGATGGTCGCCAGAGGGCGCGCGCGATTTTCTTTGTTTATTGTTTTGGAAGATCTGTTTTTTTATGGTTGTGGGTGTGTATTTGAGGTATGTTGTGTCCGTGATAAGATAAAGTTGCTTGTTTTGAGCTTTTTTATGGGTTTGGTCGTTGTATTAAGGTGAAATCGCGAAGATAATATTGACAGTTGAAGGCAGTGGCGGCGGCCAAATTTGTTAACACGAGGGGCCATGCCAACTCTAATAAATGTACCATTACCAATTAATAAAAAAAAAACTCAAAAAATGATAAAACCGAGAAAACTATTAACAATTGAACACATTTTTTTGTTGGCAATTCTGAACTGTTGGTAGTAATGCTGTAAGTCAGTTCACAGTTGTCAGTTTTGACATTTGTACTTCGTTCTAAAGCAATCTTTTTCTAGAAACATATACAAACTAGGTACTTAGCAAAAAATTTTGACTTGACGTCATCGCATTTTTGGAAGGTTAAAATATCTCACCGAAATACAAGTATTTCCTGTGTATCACTGTCTACTAGTTCAACTAAAATTCTGATCAGGTTTTTAATTCAGTTGAATTATGGATTAGTTTGGTTCAATTCAGTTCAGTTGAGGCTGAATATAGTTCAGACGGAGTTCAGTTCAGTTTAGTAATGGTTGAAATTCACTTCAAGTGCAAATCAGGTTCAATTCAGTTCCGTTGAATTCAGTACAATTTCAGTTTAATTCAGGTTTATTTCAGTTCACTTTAATTTAATTCAGTCTTAGTTCACTTCGAGTTCAGTTGAGGTTGAGTACAGTCAAGACTGAGTTCAGTTCAGTATAATTCAGACCAAAGTTTAGTTCAATTCAGTTTAGTTGGGTTGAAACTCAGTTCTGATCAGGTTCACTTTAGGGGCAGATCAGGTTTAGTTCGGTTCAAATTTGAACCAGTACAAGTATGGACGGGTCAATTCAGTTTTAGTTCACTTCGGATTCAGTTGAGATTGAATATAGGTAAGACTTGGTTCAGTTCAGCTTAATTTAAACTAGAGTTTAGTTCAGTTCAGTTGTGATTGATAGTTAGATTAGATCAGGTTCGTTTTCGTTATAATTTGATTTAGTACGGGTCCTGATTGTTTTGATTTTAGTTCAGACCCTGTTCATGTCCAACTCAGTTTAGTTCAGATTTAGATCAGATCCTTTTCAGTTCTGGTTAGATTTAATTCAGTTCTGTTGAGGTTAGGGTAAGTTTAGTTCAATTTAGGTTAGGCTGATTAGGTCAAACTCAATTCAATTCAGAACCGAACCAGACCTAAACTGAGCTTGATCTAACCTGAACTGAACCTAGCGTAACCTGAACCGAACCGTATTAAACCTAGGTCAGAGTTCAGTTCAGACTCAATTCGTTTTAGTTCAAACTCTGTTCATGTACAGTTCAGGTCAGTTCCAGCCTTGTTTAGTTCAGATTTAGTTTACGTTCAGGTTATATAAGTGCAGTTCAGGTTCAGTTCCGATCCTGTTTAGTTCGGTTTATCTTAGACTAAGCTCAGTTCAATTTAGGTCAAGCTCAGTTCAGTTTAGGTCAAACTCAATTCGAGTCAAGACCGAACCTGAATTGAATGGAGCTTGACCTGAATTGAATTGAGCTTGATCTGAACTGAACTGAGCCTAGCCTAACCTGAACCAAACTGAATTAAACCTAGATCAGAATATAGTTCAGTTGTAATTGAAACTCATTATAGATCAGGTTCAGTTCGGTTCAAATTTGATTCAGTGCAGGTTTTACAAGTGCAGTTCAGGTTCAATTGCGGTCCAGTTTAGTTCGGTTTATCTTAGACTAAGCTCAGTTTAATTTAGGTCAAGCTCAGTTCAGTTTAGGTCAAACTCAATTCGAGTCAAGACCGAACCTGAGTTGAATGGAGCTTGGCTTGATCTGAATTGAGCTTGATCTGAACTGAACTGAACCTAGCCTAACCTGAACCGAACTGAATTAAACCTAGACCAGAATTTAGTTCAGATGTGATTGAAACTCAGTATAGATCAGGTTCAGTTCGTTTCAAATTTAATTGAGTAAAGGTTCTGTCACTTCTGACTCAGTTTATTTTAGTTCAGGCTCATTTCATGTTCCAATTTTGTTTTGTTCAGATTTAGTTCACGTCCAATTTAGTTCAGGTTCGATCAGTGTGGTTCAGGTTCAGTTCAGGTCCAGTTCAGTTCTATTTAGGTTTAATTCAGTTCGGTTTAGCTTAGACTAGGCTCAGTTCAATTCAGTTTAGGTCAAACTCAATTCAATTCAAGGCCGAACCTGAATTGAATTGAGCTTGGCCGGAACTGAATTGAGCTTGATCGGAACTGAACTGAGCCTAGACTAACCTGAACCGAACTGAATTAAACCTAGATCAGAATTTAGTTCAGTTGTAATTGACTCTCATTATAGATCAGGTTCAGTTCGGTTCAAATTTGATTCCGTACAGGTTCTGTCAATTTTGACTCAGTTCATTTTAGTACAGGCTCAGTTCATGGTTAGTTTATTTCAAGTTACAGTCTAGTTTAGTTCAGATTTAGTTCACGTCCATTTTAGTTCAGGTTCGCTCAGTGTAATTCAGGATCAGTTCAGGTCCAGTTCAGTTCTGTTTAGGTTTAATTCAGTTTGGTTTACCTTAGACTAGGCTCAGTTCAATTCAATTTAGGTCAAATTCAATTCAATTCAAGGCCGAACCTGAATTGAATGGAGCTTGGCCGGAACTGAATTGAGCTTGATCTGAACTGAACTGAGTCTAGACTAACCTGAACCGATCTGAATTAAACCTAGACCAGAATTTAGTTCAGATGTGATTGAAACTCATTATAGATCAGGTTCAGTTCGGTTCAAATTTGATTCCGTACAGGTTCTGTCAATTTTGACTCAGTTCATTTTAGTTCAGGCTCAGTTCATGGTCAGTTTATTTCAAGTTCCAGTCTAGTTTAGTTCAGATTTAGTTCAGTTCAGGTTCTATCCAGTTCTAGTTTCATTCACTTCAGGTCAAGCTCAACTCAATTCAGTTCAGGTTCTGGTTTAATTGAATTCAGTTCATTTCAGGTTCTGGTTTAATTTTCGTCAGTTTTAAGTCAGGCTTAAGTCAGTTCACGTTCGGTTCGGTTCCGCTTTGAATCAGTTCAGATCCTAAGATCAGTTCAAAATTAGCTCATTTAGTTCAGTTCGTATTCAGTTCAATTCAGGTTTAATCCAGTTCAGAACAGGCTCAGTTCAGTTCAAGTGCGGTTGGGTTCTGCTTTGAATTAGTTCGTCAAATTTCAAATTGAACTTGACAGTCTGTCAGTAGTACCAACTTCCAAACAAAATTACGAACGCACATATGATACTGTGTGATCAAAAATGACTGAGTCTGTTGGCAGCACTTTTTAAACAAAGGTGATAACTTGTCTTGTGTTTATGTTGGCATAAATAACTGTGTGACAGATGCGATAAAAATGTCAACAATCTGTCAATCTTGACAGCTGGCAACCGGAAATTATTGAAAACATGATGATAGATCACGCGGTAATAGCAAAAAAATCATGGTTACTTCATAAATTTTAATCAATAATATTAATAATAATGCTTTTATCGAGGTGACTCTGAGTTATACCTATACGTAAGTAAAAATTTCAGTTAATATTTAAGTAACTACCATTTGAGATGACGTCACCAAATTTTTGCAAAAGATAAACTAAGAAATTTCGATAGAGAGTTAAGAATGAAGATGGAAGCATTATTTTTATTAGTAATCTGTCCAGTAGTTTCGAAGCGGCTACTCCTTTATATTCCAACTAGAAAATATTACATTATTGAAAATATTCGCGGTGGACCCTTTGAAAAAGTGCGGTGTGGCGCCACTGCTTCACCCTAAACCTATAAACAAACTCCAGATGTCGCCTCGGTCGCTTCGAAATTTGCCAATTTACGCCCTCCAGCCGCCAGTTCCGGGCACGGGGGCCCCGAACCCCGTCGCAGCCCCTCATGCCGCCCCTTTCGGTTCGTTTATGATTTATTTGGCGTTCGTTGCGTCCGCAAAGTTGCCGCTCTGCCCCTTGACAGGTGACAGTAGGTGTCGCCACCGTCCATTTTTTAATTTCCATTGTTTTTACAGACGATTGTGAATTGAGCATTTTTTGTTAGTTTTGAGCGTCGAGCCGTGCGACAGTTGTGCGTCGTTTTTGAGGTTATTCGCGCGTTGGGGGCTGCCGCCGCCGGCCCATCGTGTCCTAGCGTCGAACGCGACCTCCCCGCACCCGATTACCGTTCGGTGCGTAAAAATCAGTCGCTGCAATGGTTTTACCTGAACTCGGTGTCAATAAACTCTGCTGAAGGTGTGCCGTGCATAAATCCGATCGTGAAAGTGAAAATTGCCATTACCTAACGCTGTGCTTTCCCAATATTTTCGGCTGTCTGGATCCGGCCAAGGATGCGTTTCCTCTGGACAGGGAGATAAGGGGTATGTATTGTGCGTGGTATGGACTCAGTGCGATTTTTTCCCGTTTAAACGCTAATCGGGGTGTAGAGCATGCAAGTAGAAGGTATTTGGATTTCGGCCCAAGGTGAGCATACATAAGTACAGTCATTCACCCAAAGCACCTCTCTCTCGGCTAAGTAAACGAGTGACAGGTACTCGAGTGTACTGTACACGGATTGAAGGTCGCGCCTCGGCGGTCACGTGACGAACAGGGCCGGCTCAAGGACGTTGCGTTTTCAGGCGGGTGCAATAAACCCATCGGTCGCGCGGGGAGATAACGATCGAGAGCGCGAGGATGAGTCGGGGTTTCGATCGAAGAGCGACGGATTTCGGCGAAGATTTTCGGATGGTGAAAATCTCGGGATCGCACGACGAGGCGAAGGCGTGAAAGTTTCGAAAGTGGTCAGGAAAACGGAGCGGTTTGTGCGGCGGGGGCTCGAAAGCGCGTTTTTGCGAAGCTCGAGGAGGTCCGGTAAGCGGAATGTGGCGTTGACGTCATCGGGTTTTGGGAGGGATATACTAAAGATTTTTTGACAGGCCTTTTTATTTATTACTGCGATGTTCAAGTTTTCACTTATTAGACTATTGTATGTAGAATATGCGAAGTGTTGCTTTTTTTTTTCAGGATTGCCAGTGGAACAAACTAAAAAATCCCAATTTCAGCCTCTGAGGTTTCAAATTTGGGCGTTTTATGGAATCTCTTTTTTGTACCTCTATTATTTCTAACCCGTTTTAAAGTGTACAATACAATATACAGTACAATATACAACACAATATACAATACAATATACAATACAATATACAATACAATACAATATACAATACAATATACAATACAATATACAATACAATATACAATACAATATACAATACAATATACAATACAATATACAATACAATATACAATACAATATACAATACAATATACAATACAATATACAATACAATATACAATACAATATACAATACAATATACAATACAATATACAATACAATATACAATACAATATACAATACAATATACAATACAATATACAATACAATATACAATACAATATACAATACAATATACAATACAATATACAATACAATATACAATACAATATACAATACAATATACAACACAATATACAACACAATATACAACACAATATACAAACAAATTGAAAAATCTAAAATTTAAAAATTCGAAAAACTAGAATATTGAAAAATTGAAAACTCTAGAAACTGAAAAATTCCCAAAATTGAAATGTTGAAAAAGTGTAAAATCGAAAAATGTAAAATTTATGTATACATATTTAAATGTAAAATCCCCAAACTCCGTTTTCGAAGAATTGGGAAATCGAGAAGTCGAAAAATCAAGACACTGAAATGGCCCAAAATCGAAAAATTAATTGAAAAACTGAAAAATTTAAAATTAAAAAAAAAAACGACGGATCGAAAAACCGGAACATTAGAAATCGAACAACTGAAAAATTCAAAATTCTGAGACCGAAATGTCGAAGAGTCGGAAGATAGAGAATTTGGAACATAAAAAAATAATTGGCAAATAATAGAAAAGTGGAAGAACTGAAAAAGTGAGAAATCTGAAATTTAAAAAATCGAGACATTGGAAAATCCCAAAACCGAAATTTCTAAAAATTGATAAATCGAAAACTTGAAAAATCGAGCATTGGAAAGGTGGTAAGATTTTAAAAATCTAAATATTAAAAAATTAAAAATTGGGAAATCGCAACATCAAAAAATCGTAAAATTTAAAAACTGAAAAATCAAAAAAAAAAAACAAGAAATCCTGAAATTGAAAAACCTCCAAACTGAATTCTCGAAGAATTGGGAAATCGAAAAATTGAAAAGTCGAAAAATTGAAAAATAAAATAAAAAATGGAAAAATCAAAAAATCAAAATATTTCAATCGAAGCATCGAGAAATCAAAAAATAGAAAAATTTAAATTTGGAAAAATTGACAATCAGAAAACTTGGACAACTGAAAAATCGAGAAATCTAAAATTCAAAAATTTGAAAAATTAAAGAATCAAAAGATTGAAAAATCGAGAAATCGAAATATGTATTGAAAAATCCCAAAACCGAAATATCGAAATGGATAATCGAAAACTTAAAAAGTCGGGAAATCGAAAAATGTTAAAACTCAAAAAAAACCGAGATGACGAGAAATCGTAATATCGAAGAATTTAAAATTAAAAAAAAATCGAAAAATTGAAAAACTGAATAATAAAAAAAAAGAAATCCAGAAATTGAAAAATCTGAATTCTCCATGACGTATGAAATCGAAAAATTGAAAAATCGAAAAATTGGAAAATCGATAAAAGGAAAAGTCAAAAAATTGAAAATCGAGAAATAGAAAAATAGGGAAACTGAAACAGACCAAAATCGAAAAATTAGTAATTGAAAAATCGAAAAACTGAAAAATAGAGAAATTGAAAAATTAAAATATCCAAAAATCAAATCACCGATAAACTGAAAAATCGAAAAATCTAAAGTTTAAAAAATCGAAAAATTTGAAAACCTAAATATCGAAAAATATATCCAAAAATTGAAACTGAAAAATTGAGAAATTTAAAAGTCGAAAATTTAAAAAAATCTGAAAATTGAAAATTCAAAAAACCAAAAAACCTGACAAATTGAAAAATTAGAATGTCGAAAAATTGAAGAAGGATTGGAAATCGAGAAATCAAAAAAACAAAAAATTCAAAATTAAATAAATATCGAAATATTGAAAAAATTCAAAAACTGAAATACCGAAAGATTCAAAAATTGAACTCAAAAATCGGGAAATCTAAAATTTAAAAAATGGAAAAATTAAAATTTCGAAAAATTGACTTCGATAGTTCTAATGAAAAATCGGGAAATCGAAATACAGTAAACCCTCGTTAACACGAACTCGTCGGGACCATGATCTTGACCAATTCGTGTTAACCGAATTCGCCATAACCGAAAATCACTTTTTGACATTTAAATAAAAAATATAACAAAAACAAATGTATGTATAAAAACAACTTATTTAAGCTGAGTTTTCTTCATAATAGATTTCTAACAATATATAACCAAATTTTGAGCATTAGTACTAGTACTACATACATATAAAATTTCATGGAGCAATTTTCCTAAACAACTTTCTGAAAAAATTTGACGCAAATGATCCCAACATTAATTTTTTTTTTATTTGAGATCGGGTTTTCAGAATGGTCGATTATGTAGATTTTGGAATGGTGAACTTTTTAGCTACTGCAGTTTGCATTTTCGTTTTAATATTAATGAATTTTTGGCCTCCTTTTGGTTTTTGATCTGCCATCTTGGACGTTAGCATATTGAACAATAAGAACGAACTGATTACAACTCGGTAAACCACACAGACATATTTTTGCGTTGTGCTTACTAGATGCCCATTAAGATAAAGTAAATCGTATTTGAGCACGATGCAAGGAGTTTGCACTTTTTGTTCGCGTTAACCGAGTGATTTTATATGAGAATTATAACTTGGGACCGAAAAAGTTGTTCGAGTTTCGTATTAACCGAATTTCGTGTAAACCGAATTAAGTTGCATTCATTTTATAAGTGGACTGTTTGGGACTTCGATTCCAGTTCGTAATAACGAGGTGTTTGTCTTATCCGAGTTCGAAGTAACGAGGGTTTACTGTAGAATCGAAAAAATTAAATTCAAAAAATCTAAAATTTAAAAAATCGAAATATGTATTGAAAAATCCCAAAGCTGAAACATCGAAAAAACTGAAAAAATCACAAAACTGATAAATGGAAAATCGAGAAATCTAAAAGTCCAAAAGTCGAAAATTTAAAAAATCGAACAATTATTGTAAAGTCAAAAACCTGATACATCGAAAAATTTAAAAATTGAAAAATTGAGGAATCGAAAAAGAATAAAATTTAAAAAAATCGAAACATTGAAAAATTCAAAAATTGTGAAATATTGAAAAATTCAAAATCGATGAATCAAAAACTTGAAAATTCCCAAAACTGAAAGATTTTAAAATTGAGAAATCTAAAAATCGAAAAATTGAAAAATCATAAGCCTGATTAATCGAAAAATTGAAAAGTTGGAAAACCAAAAAATTGAGAAATTAAAGAACTCAAAACAATTTTTCAATTCCCAATGGAAATCTAAAATTTAATGAATCGAAACATTGAAAAATCGAAAAACTGAAATATCGAAAAATCTAAAATTTAAAAAATCGAAAAATTTGAAAACCTAAATTTCGAAAAATATATCCTAAAATTGAAACTGAAAAATTGAGAAATTGAGAAATTTAAAAGTCCAAAAGTCGAAAATTTAAAAAATCGGACAAATATTGTAAAGTCAAAAACCTGATATCCCGAAAAATTTAAGAATTTGGAAAATCAAAAAATTGAAGGATTAAAAAATTTAAAAATTGAAGAATCGAAGAACACAATTTAAAAAAATCGAATATTGAATATTGAAAAATTCAAAATCGATGAATCAAAAACTTGAAAATTTCCAAAACTGAAAGATTTTAAAATTGAGAAATGTAAAAATCGAAAAATTGAAAAATCATAAGCCTGATTAATCGATAAATTGAAAAATTTTAAAAATTAAAAAAACTCAAAAATAGGGAAATCTAAAATTTTAAAATTGGTAAAGTTAAAATTTCGAAAAACTGAAGACTCGAAATTTCTAATTCAAAAATCGAAACAGCGAAAATATTGAAAAATCCCCAAACTGAAACATTGAAAAATGGAAAATCTAAAAATCTAAAATTCCAGAAATCGAAAATTTAAAAATCGAAGGACTGGAAAATCGGGAAATAGAAACAACAACAAATCAAAATAAAACTTTAAAAATACATACTGAAAAATTCAAAAACTGAAATGTTGAAAAATTGAAAAATCGATAAATCGAAAATTTTAAAATTCCCAAAACTGAAACCTGATTAATTGAAAAATTGGAAAACCAACAAATTTAAAAAGTCGGAAAATCTAAAATTTAAAAG